AATTGTTCTAACTGTCAGGAAATTTCTCCTCAGTTCTAAGTGGCTTCTCTCCTTGATTAGTTTCCACCCATTGCTTCTTGTTCTACCCTCAGGTGACTTGGAAAATAGTTTGACTCCCTCTTCTTTGTGGCAACCCCTGAGATATTGGAACACTGCTACCATGGTATATGAATAGTTTTATAGAATTAGGGGGAAATAGATATAAAGGCATCTATTGATACTAAGACAAAAGTAATAATCAAAGCTCAGTGGAGGTAAATAAAGTATGGCCAACATCTGAAGCCAGGAAACACCTGTTGCGAGTGGTGATTCAAAGAAGCCAATTCCATCTTGCTCCCTAATGATTTAGTTTTAGCTACTTAAGAACCACCACACTTTGTTCCTTCTGCATGATCAGTACATGCTGAACATACAGTATCTTTCTGGGGATGAATCTAATGAGATACTGAAGTTAGATTTGTTGTTATATACTAGCATTATTTTTGCATTGTGTGATTCTGAATAGTATGTTTTTACCATGATTACAGAAAAGAGCACATTGCATGCTTCAATGAGTCATTGAGATAATTAAGCATTTGAATGGATATGGCCCTCAAGAAGGATTTCATTAGAGAGAAATAGAGAAATAGGATAATATAGAGAAAAATTGGAGCCAGTGATAATTTAAATGGTGTATTGAAAGAAAAATACAGGGAGACTATCCCCAAAGGATGGTTCCTAGAACGATTGCTATAGTAGTCTTGCAGCAAAAACAAATAAAAGTGTACAACTTTTATTGTGAATTACTGCCAATTTTATCAGATTCACATGCAGCTGGTGCAATGGACTGTGATCTATGAAAACTTATGCAATAATACATTTGTTATTCTTTTAATTGCCACACTACTGATTATTCTTTTTATTACAGATTATTTCCATACGATAATAATAGCTTTTGCTAGAAGAATCAGTACCAAGGACAGCTCCATTCTGATTACAAAACTTTATTGATTAGGGTGAATCTGCTATTTTTTTTTTATCTCAAGTCTCAAACACATTTTCTGTGTGGCTGAAAGAATTTATTGATTTATTTATTTTACATAGCTGACCATCCCATGAAGGTGACTCTAAGTGGCAAACAATCAAATTATAACAACTTTTCACTCTTGTCTATGAATAACTGATTCTTAAGACTTTGCAAGTTAAGCTATAGTAGTCTGTATTGCCACTCAATAATAAACATCTGATAATGTCTGGTGTTCATATAAGTAGTTGGTTATTGTCTCCTCTAATGAAAACCTGTAAAAATGTGAAATATATTTTTACAGGTTTTCATTAGAGGGGACAATAATCAGCTACTTATATGAATACCAGACATTATCAGATGTTTGCTATAATGTTAAATTTATTTAACATTTGACAGCCCAACTGTAGGTTGGGCTGGTTTCTAATAATTGTCCTCCAGCTGAGGTCATTGATCAAGGACCCAGCATCTGGATGTAATTGTGAATGCTAAACATTGTATGTTTCCTGAATATTAATAACAAACAACATGCATTAATAATATAATTACCATTTTTATTATCAGTTGTTTTATATCTTATATCTGCTCTGTGCATTGAGATAATTCTTCAGTGGGATATTCAGACCAAGGGAAGTGTAAACCTAAATTTTATATCCTTTTGAATAATATAAGGACTTTATCAAAGAACCTTAGAATATTTTGAAGAGGCGGTATCTTCTCAAATATTCAGAGAGGGGACATCTTAAAAGAGCAGATATCTGCAGGAACGTTCAACCACAGCAAAAAAGAGATTTTAAAATGATATACTCTGATAAAATCTGGAATAAATATGAATGTATATAAAATGAGGAAAAAAACATGGTATATTGTTGGAATAATGAACAGAAAAATGAACATATTTGTACAGAATTTTCAGAAATCAGATCAAAATCTCCAAATGCATAGTCTTTGACTGTTTCATAGGTTTATGTCAGTTATTGAAAAATATAAAAATCTATTAAAACAGAAGGGGCACCAAGTCTAGCACCAATTTTGATTGGTCATATTTAAGAAAACCAGCTCAAATGACAATGACTTCCAGAAGTGACGTGCCAGTGGATTTCTGTGACTTCACAAGGGAATAAAAATACTTAGCAATAAAATATTAAGGGCTATTTTGCTTCCTCACCTGATTATTTCATTCCTTTTGAGATCTCACATTTTCTCATCCAGGTCCATTCTATTTTAGGCTGCTGGTTGCTAAGAGACATTAACAAGTCTTTGAACTTGCTGTATCACTAGTACCTGGGGCTGATACATACAATCAATTGCAGTATTTTCCCCAATTAAATTGAAATAGAATGTGCGCAATTTAATTTGGTAAAAGTTTAGGTTCTCTCAGTGCTTGTGGCATTCATTGCAGGGATGCACAGCTTTTGCTTAGTATGATGCAATATTTAAGCCATGCAGTCTTTAAAGCAGAACAACTGAAGAATTAAGAACTTTCTATAGCTATTATATTTAGGAACGTTAATCCCCTGAAACAAATAGAAAACTCTCTCCTCTTCTTGATGAATGCTGATATTGTTTTAAAATATTACGCAATATTGCTTCTATGTCATACGCTCAGTGAGAAGAATATTTTGCCATATATAGTAGCAGTTTCTCTTTTCTTATTTCACAGTGTTAAGAACAGCTGAACATCTGCAAAGCACAAAAAACACATTACAGGGAAAACAGTAAACTGGATCATTACTGTCACTGCTATTGCAGCTAAATTATTAAAGGAAAGTAAATCCACAAGAAAAGCATACTCTCTCTTCCTGTTTAAGATTAGTTTAATTGGAATTCCATGAAAATCCATCTTTCTCTATGATCTCAAATAGCCTAAGTAACATAAGATTGCCTTTGAGTTTACTAAAGTCAGGAAAATATTGGTTAAAGTCAGGAAAATCTTGGTTACTAGCTTTGTATCCTTAATAATGTTAAAACATAATGTCATTAAAACATAATAATGTTAATGGCCAAGCCATTAGAATGAGCAGAAGCTATTGTGTAATAAATTAGGCTTCAGCATCTCCTTCTTTGTCTTGGATTTAGTTTCAGTTAGCTTAATATAAACTAATTTATATACTCTAACAACTCTGTGTGATGTCTGTGTAAACAATATATTGATTATTAATGAAATTATCTTATGAGTTGAATAAACACAACGTAATAACAAGCCAAGGATCTCCTAAAGCAAAACTAAAATTTAGTTGATTTAATCTTCCAGGAGAAGGAAGGGAAACTGCATGACCTCTGGCCTATCCTATATTACAGTGATGGCTAATCTATTTCCCATCGCGTGCCAAAAGTGCAGAGGGGTCATGCATGGACATGCCCACACCCTTTGTTCTATGCACGCAACCCCCACGCATGCGTGCCACCCCCCCGTGCATGTGTGTGCAACCCCCTGTCCATGCATGTGCGACCCCGCACTTTCCCCGCTTTTGGCGGGTGATGGACCCATTTTTCGCCCTCCCCACGCTCCCAAGGCTTTCTAGGAACCTAGGGAGGGTGAAAACGGCCTCCCCAGTCCCCCCTGGAGGCCCTCTGGAGGCTTCCCTGAAGCCTCTGGAGGCCGAAAAATGGCCCTACAGGCAAACCGGCTTCAGGGAAACCTCCAGAGGACAAATAATGGCTGAAAATAAAAGCTAAAGTCAGCTGGCCAGTGCGCACATGTGTGCTGTATCTGACAGGGCAACAGCTCACATGCCCAAACTAATGGCTCCGTGTGCCGCCTGTGGCATGCATGCCATAGGTTTGCCATCACGGCTATATTAGAAGCAGCAATTTTTTTCTTTGATGGATACATTTGAAATTTTGAAAGCATGTTGTGGGGACTCTCACAAAAAGATAAGCATGGACACTGACAAAATGTCTGTCTATTAGAAGGCTAACTACAGGGAGTCCTCGACTTACAACAGTTCAGTTAGTGACCATTCAAAGTTACGATGGCACTGAAAAAAGTTACATATGACCATTTTATACTTATGACCATTACAGCATCGCCAGCAGATGCTTGGCAACTGAGTTATATTTATGACAGTTGCAGTGTCCCCGGGGTCACATGATCTCCTTTCGCAACCTTCTGACAAGCAAAGAGACCCAGATTCACTTAATAACCCCGTTATTAATTTAACTACTGCAGTGATTCACTTAACAACTGTGGCAAGAAAGGTCATTAAATGGGGCAAAAATCACTTAACAAATGTCTCTCTTAGCAACATAAATCTTGAGCTCAATTGTGGTTGTAAGTTGTGGACTACCTGTAGTGGATTTCTTCTTATCATCTCTAGCTTCCCGCCCTCCTAACAATGCCTCTTGGGTTTATATATCAGTTATTAACTTTATATTTTAAAATAGTTTTAATAATAATACATGAAATATCGGATGGAGCAGAAATCCTTGTGGGCACCAAAGAGGTTAGTGTTTGGCCCACTGACGCTCATGGGGACTTATTGGTTATCATTTTGTAGAATAAAGTGAATGTTACATTGTGGAGCAACCTCAGTTGTTCCCAACTATACGCAAACAGGAAAGTGCTAGTGAAAATAGCTTTTTAATAATCTCATTTTAAAATATGTTTTCAGGGAAATTAATCTGCATCAGTCTTGAAATAGTTCAGAACCAGGAATTCAGGGTGCAAACCAGAGGTGGTAGTCAACAAGTTCTGACCAGTACTGGAGAACCTGTAGCGAAAGTTTTGAGTAGTTCGGAGAACCGGTAAATACCACCGCTGACTGGCCCTGCCCCCACGTATTCTCTGCCTCCCTAATCCCAGCTGATCAGGAAGAAATTTGGATTTTGCAGTAACCTTCCCCTGGAATGGGGAGGGAATGGAGATTTTACAGTATCCTTCCCCTGCCACGCCCATCAAGCCATGCTACGCCCACCAAGCCACACCCACAGAACTGGTAGTAAAAACATTTTGAATCCCACCACTGGTGCACACATTAAAAAGTGAGGGACTGTGCTCCGTTCAGCTGGGGGAGGGTTTTCTATTGAGAGATGATAGTTCTTGAATGCAAAGCCAAGTAATCAATGGCTTCACATGCAATGCCAAACACTTCACAGATATTATCTGTAGTACAAGTGTCACGGGCAATTTAATAGAAGATTTCTGGCCATTCTAGTTGCTCTGATAATGTCAGCAACAAAAAGATAACTTTAATGTTGGCTGCTCTTATGTGAGAACTGCCAAAGCTTGGTCTGCTCTTTACTGCTGCAGTATTTTAACCTAAATAGTTTCTGACACATTGTTGGCATTGCATGCACTTGGGGAAAAAATGTTAGATTAAAAACTACTGTAAATCCTCAGATTTTCATTGATTGGAAAAGGAGGCATCAAAATGAAGGGTGGCTAGTTATAAAGTTGCTTTATAGCTGAGAGGGGGAGCGATGGACCACATATGCCTCAAACCCTCTTTTTGTAACCCCCCCATCCCCCCAGCCCACATGTATTAAATTTCAGTACCAAAACAATAAGAAATCAAAACAACTTTCAAGGTTTTGTTGGATATAATGAAAAATAGGTGCACGATCTTCCTTTAGCCTTGAAATGAAATAAAATTTTCATACTCTTTTTACTTAATATGCCCAAGACGATGAATGTTGTCAAAAATTAATTAAATACTTGATATCATTATTCAAATAACCAATTATCCCAATATCTGTACCTAGAAAAGCTACTACCTGTTTTTATTGTGCAAATATATTAGCATATTGTATATAATGGAATGGCTTCCACCAAAAAAAATCTAAATTCTGTCTCCCGTCTCCAGCCCTATCTTTTATGGTTCCACCAAGTATTGCCAGCATCTTTTCAAGCATTATGGACTAGGAAATTGTTTTTTAAGAATGCAAAACTAAGACTTATGGACAATTGACTCTTATAGGCAATGTCCACGTCTGCAGGTGTGATTGAAGGATGATGAAGCACACAGAGATGGGTGAGCAGTGGAGAAAGTGGTAATGCACCCGACCATGTTTTAATTGGGTTTCCTTTGTGTATTATTTTGCAGGTCTCTCACAAACGACTCACATCTGACGTGTTATCTGCAAAGCCAGCCCTTGCCCTTTTAAAGTTTGATTCCACCTGGCCTTGGAATAAATCCGTACTTAATCTATAAGTGGCTACACCAGACCATCTCAATGCCTAAGAGCAGCAAAGTAACTCAGCGAGAACAGAGCAATGAGCCTGTCACAGAGTCAGTGGCTGATCTACTGGCTCTGGAGGAACCTGTGGACTACAGACACAGTGTCTTAAATGTGGCTTCAGAAAACTGGAACAAACAGCAGGTCGGGGAAGAAGCAGAGGATGACAGACCGGCATGGAACAACAAGCTACAGTACATTTTGGCTCAAATAGGCTACTCTGTGGGCCTGGGGAATGTGTGGCGGTTTCCATATTTGTGCCAAAAGAATGGTGGAGGTAAGCTCAATAGAGGAGGCGTCTGCTCTGCTTCTCTGTTCTAATGTAGAGGAAATAAGGCCATTTTAGATTTTTAGATTTTTTTTTTAGATTTTAGATTTTATTTAGCATTTATAGGCCGCCCTTTTCCCTGAGGGGACTCAGGGCGGCTTACAATAGTAAGGGAAGGAGTGAAAGACAAAATACAGAAAAAAAAATGTGAGATAACTAAAAGGTACTAAAACACAACATTCACTCAGCATTAGAAC